AATGACACCCGAGGTTGTGGTTGCTGCAGTCACTGCACACATCTGTCCATTGTGCTTATGGCTGTGGCTGTCTGTAAACCAGGTGTCTTCTGTTTCTGGTAGCGGCAAGTCTCACAGATCCGGGCGGATGCAATGTGTCTGGGTCAGTATCTTGGTGCAGTGTTGGAGCAGTGCCTTAAGGTCGGGGTCCAGCAGCAATATGGCAAGATTAAGAGCTGTGGGCAGTGGGATGTTATTCTGGCAGGGTTAAGTAGCAAAGTCTGACAATTAGCCATCTAGCATTGCTCAGCCAGTGATCAGGTGGCTGTTTGAGGACTGCTTCTAAGGCATGCGGGGTGGTGATGGTTAAATTTGTCCCAAAGTTAGTTTATCAGTGTCCTTGACCAGCATTGCCACTGCAGCTATAATACACAGGCAAGGGGCCATCCTGCGACCACAGGATCCAGCTTCTTGGACAGATATGCCTCAGGTCTTTTCCAGGGCCCTATGGTCTGAGCTAGTACCCCTTTTGCTATTCCTTTTAACAAAAAATCTATAAACAGGTAAAAAGGGTTTGTTTATGTCTGGTGACCCAAGAGCTGGGGCCTCCAAGAGTTCTGCTTCAGGGTGTCATAAGCCTTCTCTCTCTCGTCCATTCATGTAAAGCTGGATGTATTTTTTGGTGGCTTCATAAAAAGGCTTAGCCTGCTCAGTAAACCCCAGAATCCATAGGCGGCGGAACCCCAATTTGCTCTGGAATTCCCTTACCTGTTTGACAGTCTTGGGAGTGGGTATTTTCAACACCATCTATTGCGAGCATCTGAGAGCCACTTCTGGCCTCCCTCCAGAGCATACCCTAGGTACATTCATTACCCATGACTTACAGATCTGAGCCTTTTTAGCAGAGGCTCAATATTCCAAGTCCCCCAGTTCTCAGTTCCATTTTTGCAGGTCTCTTTATCAACCGCTGCAATCAACAAATCATCCACATACTGTAACAAGTTTATATCAGTGTTCTGGTTTTGGTACTCACTCAGTTCCTCATGTATGTCTTCATCAAAGAAGGTGGGTGAGTTCTTGTACCCTTGGGGTAATCTAGTCCAAGTCACCTGGCCGCTGACTCGGATTTCCAGAACATGCCATTCAAAGGTCAAATATTGCTGGCTCTTGGGGGCCAAGGGCAGGCTAAAGAAGGCGTCCTCCAGATCCAGAACTGAATACCATTGCAGGTCTGGATCAATGTGCTTAGTAGGATATAAGGGTTAGGCACTGTAGGATGAATGTCTATTACCCTTTCATTTACCTCTCTTAAGTCTTGGAACAGTTGGTAGTCATTGGTATGAGACTTTTTGACTGGTAATAATGGTATATTCCAGGCAGACTGAACTTGCTTTAGGACTCCAAGTGCCAATATCCTCCTTATATGGGGGGTTATTCCTTTCTTTGCTTCTGAAGGCATGGGGAACTGGAGAATTTTGACTGGGTCTCCATCAGCTTGGACCTCCATGTATATTGGAGGCTTATGTCTCACCAACCACATATTCCCAGTCTTTGCCCATGCCAGTGGAAACTCCAATAGCTGTGTTTCTATGGTTGGCTCAGGAGCTGCAGGTTTCTGGTGAAGTCTGTATTCCTCAGTCAGGCTAGTAGTCATCAGTACCTGAATTGGTTTCCTGTTTTGGTGGAATAACTGAGCCCCTTCATCTGAGAAGTAGATCTAGGCTATTATTTTTGAGAAAAGGTCTTGGCCCATCAGTGGGTGGGCTCACTCTGGAATGACTAGAACAAATGCATTAACCATCCAATTCCCAAATCCACTCTTCTTCAGGTAGTCCATGAATAACTTTTAGTGCCTATGGCCCCCTGTACCCACATTTTCTTGGTGGACATAGGTCTGCCTGGCACCAGAGGACAGAGTTCTCTGCCCCTGTGTCCACCATGAATCTTATTGATTTCCCCTCCACTCTCAGTATTATCTTAGGCTCAGGGAGGGAATATGAGCCCCATCTCCCCTAGTCACTGTCTTCCTCCAGGGCCATGGGGAATACATGGGTAGTCAGGGATGTCCTCCCTCTCTTCTTGGGGCATTCCTTTACCCAATGGCCTTCTTCTTTGCAATATGTACATTCGTTTTTTCCTACCTTGGGCTTAGGCCAGGGTCTTCTGGTTTCATGCTGGGATGGTCCAGTTGGTCCAAATCCTGCCACCAGGAGAACTTTTTAAAAACTCTTCTCTATGCTAGACCTGCTGTTGTTCTAGTATTCTCACAAAGTTTTTTCCTGTCTTCTTTCTTGTTTTTCTTCCTTCTGTACCCTCTCTTTCTCTCACCTTTTTTTCTGATAATCTGTCTCTCTCTTATAGTAAACCTTCTCTACCACTGCCACTAATTCCCTAAGATTCTTTTCACCTAATCTTTCCAGTGACTATAATTTTCTTCTGATATCTGGAGCTGCCTGGTTGATATAGGCAAACATTGTCATCTGAGCTGATTCTTCAGCATCAAGATCATATGGTGTGTATTGCCTAAAGGCCTCTAGAAGGTGCTCTAGATAGGTGGCCAGACTCTCATTTGCCTCCTGCCTAACATCATAAACCTTAGCCATATAGGTTGGCTTCCATGCAGTCACTTTGAGACCTACCAACAGAGCCTGGTGGTAGAGTTGAGCCTCTCCTTACCTTGTGCCCTGTAATAGTCCCAATCAGGATTGGTGGGAGAAAAATAAGCATTGATGGTCACTGTATCAGTGGTGGGAGCTCCTGTGGGACCGGGAACCAATTTCTGGTCAGCCTCCAGGATTCTATTCCTCTCCTTAGTGGTGAACAGGATGCTTAGAAGCTGACCACAATTGTCATAAGTGGGCTGGTGGGTAAAAAGAAGAGTCTCTAAAAAATTAATTAAATCCTGGGGGTTTTTGGAAAATGGAGCATTCTGTTTGTGCCATTTGTACAGGTCACTGGTTGCGAATGGCCAATAATGATAGGGTTGGTTCCTGTCAGCATCCACTGTTTTGGCAGCTCTAAGGGATAGGGCCACTGAATTGTCCAGCTGTGGAGTGGCACCTCTTCTGCCTCGGGTTGCTTGAGATGGCCCCTGTAAAGGAGGTTCTGGTTGGGGCTGTTGGTTGGATTGGGGGATTGGCAGGCTGAGGGGGAGCAAGCAGGGAAGAGTAGGGTGGAGGGAAAAGTTTAGATTCCTCTATTCCTCCTTGAATGACACAGGGCTTTGGGTCCCTTCCTTGGGTTTCACAGGAAGCACCTGTGAGGGGGAAGACGTTAACTAACGGGCAGTAGGTTTGGGACCAGGACCCATGGGTGGATGCGGCAGGAATGGTTTAACCCCTGGGAGGGGTCCCTCCAACCTGTCAATGAGCCCCCTCTAGGTAACTATATAGGGGATTTGATTTGGGTGGCCTGTTTGTAGCCTGAACACAGTCTCCTTGACTCTGTGTATGATCCTGGAGTCAAAGGTCCCCTCCCTTGGCCATCCAATGTCAAAAGCAGGCCATTCTGAGGAACAAAAAGTTATCTACTTACTCTTCTTAACATTTATGCTCTTGTTATGAGCAATTTCCTTTACATCCTTCCTATGAACTAGGGTCAGGTCAAGAAAGGATGAAGGAGTGTTTCCCATGTACAGACAAAGATGAACAGAAATGTAAGAGACCACACGTATCAACAAGACAGTCAGACAAAATGGAAGAACTAGGACCCTCAGCAGAGTTCTACTGCAGCTGACAGATGGTCCAGGCAGATGAGTTTCTGGAGAGGAAGCCTCAATTATGCCAAAGATGGTAGAGATGGGGTGGGGAAAGTCAACAGAGTCTCCCAATCTGCAGAGTTCTCGGATACACAGATGGGACCCTCATGAATCCCTGGTAAAGTGGCCTCAGACTCGAGACTCCTGAACAGATAAGGAGAGGGGATGTCTCCCAACTCCTCCAGGTTAGCTTTTACTGCATGTCCGCCAAAGTGGATCCTCTCAGGTACTGACAACTGTTATCAGAAAAAAAGTCTTGTGCAAGGATGTCATGCTGCAAATTTCAGCATGAGGAGAGGAAACTCAGCATATGGGCCACCAAGACAGCTTAGTTGGGAAGAGTGCCTGCTGCACTCCCTCCCAGTTCCTACCCCCAACTGACTCACAGAAATAAATGCACAAAAAAAAATGTGGGACAGTGATAAGGCTTACTTACTCACCTGAGTTCAATTCCCTGTCCCCAGAGAATTTGTCCCACAAATTGTTCCCTGACCTCCATGCATGGGTGTTGAACATGCACACAAAATGAATAAATATGCAAATATAGTAAGAAACTCAATACAGATCCTGTCTGTCTATGGATTTTATATTTATAGATTGAAACCTTGGAAACAAACTACTTGGAAAAGAATCCCTACAGTGAAAAATGTATTGTTTCCTCCTATCTTTGTCCTGTACTCAACACAATAAGACTAGTGTCTATGCAGTATTCATATTAGACATTGGAAATAATCCAAAGAAGTTTTGAATGTGTGGGAGGAGGAGGAGTAGAGTAACATACCTATTTTAACTAGATTCTGAGGGTTGACTGTGTGTCTGACTCAGATACTAAACTCTTAATCACTTTGCATTTCTATTTGCTATATTGACATCTGTTGTTATTATTGACAGGGTCTCACAATGTAATCTGAGCTGGCCTTGTACTTCTATGGCTCCTGCTTCGTGCTCTCTATCTTTTGAGACAGGGTCTCACTATGTAGCTCTGGATAAGCTGAAAAGGCTACAAAGACCAGGGTGGTTAGGAACTCACAGAGATCCAACTGTCTCTGCCTCTGGTGTGCTGGGGTTAGAGGCATACAGCACTGTGCTCGGCTTGCTTGGTGTTGTTTCATGAGATTGACATGCATCCATCACCAAGCTGGCTGTATTTGTATCTTGAACCATGTTTTTCTCCTTGTGACTTTGACCCATCTGCATTCTATTGATAAAGAAACTGACCCTATCCACAACACTATGGAGTAAGGAGGGAACAGAGGTCACTCACGTATTATGTCCAGCTGGATGGGGTCACTCCTCTTGGAACTGACTTGATTGGATACTTCACACTGATAGTCCCCAGAATCTTCAATCTTCACAGAGTCTATTTGGAGGGTGCGGTTGTTTGTGGACAGCCTTGTCCTATTTGTAACAACCAGACTCTTGCCTTTGAAGAGCCAATGGATAAAGATCCCAGTGTCATTTGACAAGCAGTTCAGGAACACAGAGATTAGGTCTTTGACTGTGGAGTTGGTGACTTGGATGGAGGGTGGAGTCACTGGATCTGTGGATAAACAGTGGAGGGGACCAGCTGAGAGTCTTTCACCCTCAGAGATCTCAGCCAGCTCACAGGGTCCATAGAATGAAGTCACCCTCTGCAAGATCACATGTTTGGGTGCAAGATATGGTCTCTAAGGATAGAGCTGAAGCTTACTCCTACCAAGAAAACTCATAGTGACCCTAACTGAGGGTGTTTGTGTAGATTCCACATTGAGAGCCGCTTCAGTGCACATGTCCAGATATCACATGGTGGGGGGGAATGTATTTCTCAATGATTTTTTTTGGAATTCTTACTCAAACTTTCTGTGAGTGTGAACAATCAGGTCCCTCCTTTATGAAATAGCCTTCTGTTTATTTTTTATTAAAAAGTTTGTCATGGGGATAAGATGGCCCAATTCATCTTAAAGGTATTAAAACATAGACCTCAGGACTGGGAGAAAATCCTAACTGAAGAATTTCTGTTTGGAGAAAAAAAATATATTTCCTTCCCCATGGATATGGAATAATACTAGAGAGAAAAAGTGAATAATCACAGTGCTGACCACAGCCTGCCACTTTAATCCTCAGTAGTGACAATTTGTGAGACAGGGTCTCACTATATATTCCTAGCTTGCTTGGAACTTGCTTTGGACACCAGGCTGCCCTCAAACTCACACTATCTACCTGCCTCTCCCTCCTCAGTCCTGGCATCAAAGATGTGTGCCACCAAACTCAGCTAACATTTGTTTTTTAAACCTTGAGAAGAGTAAGCAAAAGAGCATCACCAACTGTCAGTGACATGGTTCACCCTGATGTAGAACAGGGCTCCATCGCACCCTTTCCACCCACTCTTCTCATCCCTTAGAGTCAGAGCTGAGCCAGATACCCCAGTGTTGAGAAAGAAGCAGACCTGGGAGCAGAGGTCTAGTCCCCATCTGTGGAAAATTTTCTCTGGGGCACAGTTGAAAACCTTGGGTGTTCCTTGTAGGTCATGGAGATCAGAAAATCAAAATGGAGGAGACAGGAAAGCTTGTGTTAGGCACAGAAAGAAGTCTTGACTTTGAGGCTCTCCTAACCATGGAAAGAATCTGACACAACCAAAGGCTGGGAGAACCTCCTCACATTGCAAGCTCCACCCCTATCAGCCAGAAATCAGAGAACCAGGAGGCCATTAGACATAAGGATGGAGCAGGAGGCTTGTGGGAAGACTGAGTTTTGCTTGTTCCCATAAACATGGGCTGGAAATTAAATGCTTCTGTACCTTCCCAAAAAAGCTAAAAGACTGCACTCCAAAGCTGGTGCTGATATTTCAGAGATCCACTTACTAAGAAATGTAATGTTCTTCACTGTAGTCCTATTGACTCTAGCGAAAAAGTTATAGATGAAGCAGGAATAGGATCCAACGTTATTACTATTGATGTTGGGGATAAAGAACTCTTTGGAGGATGATTGGAGCTCTCCATTGACAAACCAAGAGTACTGTGCAGGTGGGTTAGCATCTATGTAGTAAGAGAGGCTGGAGTTTGTCCTTGAAAGGAAATGAATATTTGAGGGGGATGTGATCATGTTATCTGGATCATCTATAGCAAACAGAATAAACCACATGTGATGTCAGCAGAGGGAAGGGGAAATCCTGGTCTGCAGAAGGCCATAGAATCTCTTTGAGCTGTGCTTTAATCTTAGTTGAGGAGATTTCACCCAGAGTTGGGGTGCAAATTAGTAGAAGAGTACTCATTCAGCATGAACAAGCCCTAATTTTTCTAAAGCACAACACACAAGCATCTGTACTTCACACTATGCGTGCAAGTGCCTGAGTATGACATGTCTCCTGGCTTCACCACCCTGAGCCTCTCTAGGCAGAAGTATATGTGAGAAGCAAGAGCTTTCTCATGAGTGAACTGAGCTGCAGTATTTGGTGATGGTCAGAATCAAGATGTAGAATGAGAGACATCATTTTATCTCCTGGTCCTCAGGGACCCATTGCCTGCCTTGAGACACAAGGTCTGAGTCCTTCAAGCTACATTGACCTCCCCTGCTGTGTGTAGACCAGAGTCCTCCAATCCTTTGCTGTTCAGGGCCATCCTACAGATAGGTTATGATTAGTCTTCCCATTGAGCTTCTCTGAGAAACCTGACAGCCTGTCTGAGATCTCACAGAGCTCAGGATCTGGCTGACATTTAGTTCAGGCTGGGCCACAGGTGGGCCATTCTTGTCAGGTGTTTGATGTTGATTGACATGAATCTGGGAGCCCTATAAGAATCCTGAGTCTCAGGACAATGAGGTTCCTCTTTGGATTCCTGAGCACTGAACGTGCCCTGTGGCTGCTGCTGAAGCCCAACATGACAGAGACCTAATGGGTCATCATGAAAAAATCTACCCTTCTGATGCCAATGGAGATTGAAAGCCCCATATGGCCATCTTTGGCAAGCATTAATGTAAGCCTAGGAACTGTAGCCATGAGATTGGATTCTCCAGAAGAGCTGCCAGCCAAAGTCATGCTTGGATCAAGAAAAACGGGCCTTGGCAGTTCGTGTTCCTGGAGTTGTATCCATGCCAGTGGATGTCCACACAATCCAGAAGAGAATTTGACATTGCTGCTGCTGCTGTTGCTGTTATAACAATGGCATACACCACTGCTACTGTTTCTGGGATTGCCATTTCGTAACTGCTTACTACAGCAATCACAGTGGAGACCCTGGCAACAAAAGTAGCTACTACAGTTAGTTAATCTTTCATTCTATTGGGCATGACAAATTCAATTCAGTAGTTATATACATCTCGATTGGCTTTGAAAATTATAAATTTATAAACTCAAGTTCCAGTTGCTTTTGGGATACTATCTTACAAGGACTCCAACGTACAGTATGGCTCGTTAAGGAAGGGAATGGCTCAGTTGCCTTTAGCCTACTGGCTATGGGTGAGATAGGACCTCTGTTGGTCTTTTCTGTATCAAACACACAGATTGCAAGCCCAGTCCCACTTTGAGATCTTTGACAGGAATTAACCATGAAGCTCACACACGATTGAGCCGGTATGATAATGTGTATTCAGAGAGGGGTAATGCCTGGGGGGCACTCACCAACCTAAGACAGAGCACCTGTGTGGCCTGGGCAGGCGTCTCCATGACAGGTAAGGTGACCTGCTGATATCCCATGCAACCCAAGTCAGAAGCTCATTTTTTAATAAAAGGGGGACCTGCAGGGCCCTGGCCCCCATTTTGGGTAACTGTTGCCTTGCTTGCTGACCTTGACCTTGATATCCTCCCAATGCTAATTCCCTGCCCTGTTCCACCCTCCTGAATGCTTAAAGGAAGTTCCTTGTCTGTGTATCCTGAATAATGGGCGTTAACAGCTTAGATGCAAGATTGTAAAACATCAGCAGTGAACTTTTGCCCTCCGGGGTCCTCCCATTGTGCTGTAAGCCTGTAATTAATACCTCCTACCCACTTCAAGAAATGACATTTGACATTTAAAATTATATATATATATATTTGAATGAATAATGCAAATGTAATCTATGAATACCACAAATGTGATTAATATCATGAGTGTAATTTAAAAATAAATAAATAAATAAATAAGAAAGAAAAAAGAATCCTGAGTCTATGAAATGATCCAGAGGAGTGAAGGTCACCTAGTAGGTCTCCATGGTGGGGAAGTTGGAAATGTGGTTGTGGACCAATAGCTTGTGCCAAGGATGGCCTATGTGACCCTGACTCAACCACTGTGTTTCCTGTCTAAGTTTCCCTATAATAGGACACATGGTAAATGATCATTGCTATGCCTGCAAGTTAACCTTAAATGTGAACAACAACCTGACCTTCCACCAAGCAGTGTCTGTTAGTGTTTGCCTGCAGGAAATAATCCCTCTACTGGGCATGAAGAGATGGCTCAGGGTTTAAGAGCACAGGCTGCTCCTCTGGAGGTCCTTAGTTCCATTCTCAGCATCCACGCAGTGACTTACAACCATCTATAATTAAATCTGGTGTCCCTTTCTGGTGTGCAGGAAGAACACTCTATATATAATAATCAATCAATCAAACAAACAAACAAACAAATAAATGATTGAATGAAGGCTAAACTGGCTGTGGGAAGAAAACACTAAAGAGATATTAGTAGCAGGAGTTAAATTTCACATTGGAAAGAGGAGCAGATTAGAAGTAACCCACAGAGAATTGTAGTCAATGGCAGTGTATATTTCAGAGTAGTCAATACAAATTTCCAATTGTCTCACCATAACAAATGTGAGATAAATGTGGTAGTGGATGTTAAGTAGTTGACTTAACCATTCTGTCTGGTACATAGACATCAAAGATCACACTCTATTTCTCCAGACTAAGAACAGTTGGTATGCCTGTTAAAGCAGTATTAACAAGTAATAGACCATGCATCAAGAAAGTGAAAGATCATTTTCAAGTGCCAAAAATGTTACATATTGTACATCTGAACATGGACCAAAATATATAAAGAACTCTCACAGTTCAACAATAGTAACAATAAAACCACAAGTAGCTCAATCCAAAGAGAAGAAAAAGACCTGACATTCCTTTTAAAGAAAGAGGAACAGATGACCAATAAAGACATGCTGATTAGTTTTTGTCTATTTGATAGACTAAATTCACATGGGGAGAGAAAACCTCAGTTGAGGAATCACCTCCATCACAATGGCCAGCAAGGCATTTTCTTAATTACTGTTTGGTGGAGGAGGACCCGGTGCTATCCCCTTGCAGATAGCCCCTTTCTTATGGGCTCTGTAAGAAAAGCAGCTGAGCAAGTTGTGGGAGGAAGCCAGGAAGCTTTCCCCATGGTTCTTGCCTACACTTCCCTCAATGACACACCCTGATCAAGACATTTAAGCTAAATAAACCCTAACTGCCAAGTTGGTTTGGGTTGTGGCATTTCATCACAGGAACTGGAAATCTATCTAGAACAACACATACAGTAATGCTATGGGAGCCGGGCGAGGGTGGTACACGGCTTTAATCCCAGCACTTGGGAGGCAGAGTCAGGTGGTTTCTGCAAATTT